GTCCTCAGCCTAGCACTGGGTGGGAGGTGAAGCCACAGGGCATTCAGAACTCCCGAATTCCAGGCTGTCTGCAAAATCCCTTGTGGGAGGTACCCAGCAGAGCCCCAGTCAACAACTACACCCCCTCAGCTGGACTGGATTTTGCAAAGAAAAATAAGGCCCTTTTCTCCGAGCAAAAGGCTGTGCTAAATGTGTGCTGCCACCTAGTGACTGGTATGGGGATTTGCTGTCAAATGACCCGCTCCAGGAAAAGTGTTCTTATCAGTCACCTGACCCCTGTGCCTTGAACGGGCCTCCACTGTGCATTCCTGGTGCCTGGATTAAATCACAAACAACCAGTCATTTCTGTCTGAGTGAGCTGTCTGGTAAAGCTCAGGAGGAGCAGCCTGTAAGATCCTCTGAGAAAAACAAGAGTTGGTGTGCTGGGACTCTGTCTAGGTAGTTCCGTGAGGTGAGACGGTGAGGAGGATGCAAACCAGAATAGCTTCCGGCTTGGGAGATGCCTCATGGGTGTCACTACCTGGTTTGCATCAGCCCCTGCATGAGACACCCCCACCCAGCCGCCAGCTTGTGCCAGGCATTGCGGCCGCGCTCCCACCATTTTTAGGCTGTGCGGTGCTCACATCCTCTGGATCCTTCCTTGTGCTTGTTACCACTTCTGAGACCCATTCACAGGGCCTGGACAGGTTATGAACAGGGTGTTGGAGTGCTGAGATTTCTGAGAGGGGACACAGTTAACAGTGTGCCAAGGTGAGCGTGTGGCATGGCCAGGAAGGTAGAGCTCCCTGCTGAGCACCTGGGACAACCTCCTTCCTGTCTTTTTGCCAGTCAGCTGCCTTCATGGGTTCTCCCTCCCTCCGGTTGATATTTGTCCCCATGTCCTTGTCTTATTTTCTGCATCTGCCATGATGATGATGATTTATTAGTTCAAGGATGCTGAGGACCACCATGCCTTTGCACCAGCTTGTCAGCTCCTCAGGCCTGAGTGAGAACGAGGGCTGTATTTTTCTTAGTGCTTTTAGAAATCAAGCAATACAGCTTTCATTCTTTTATTATTATTATTATTATTATTATTATTATTATTATTATTATTATTATTTTACCAAGGAATCCATGGGAGCAAAATCTTTCATCCCACAAATCAGAGCAGGTAGAAACTTAAAATATTAGTTACAGACTATGCAGCATGGAAAAGACACACAATGGAGTAGTTTGAACCCAAATTAAACTATGACTTTTTTAAAAAAGTGTTCTATGTCACTGTATTAGCATCTTTTAAAAAAATACAAAAGTAAAAAATGCTTATAAAAATTAACCTACTGCAGGAATCGATCATCTGAAAAGGGGAATGCTCCCTAATTTCATCCTTCCCAATTTGGAGATATAGCCACCGTTAAATGGTGAACATTCCTTTAGACCTTCCCTCTCTCGCTGTATAGCTTTGGTTTATTGTTCATATTTATATATGCAGAAGGATACAGCCTGCTCATGCTTGCCAATTACCTTTTAAATGTAGCAGTAATCCTGAGCATCACTCCGTATGTATGACCTCACATATTTTAACCACCGGAATGAAAGCAAACTCGGAGAGCAGAGTATTTTCCAAGCAGAACCCCAAGTCTTTCTGTTAGACTCTGTCTGGGCATGCAGAAGCAGCTAGAGAAAGGACCCCTGAAGGGTGGGTGTGTGATACCAACAGAGAAGTCTAGTGTGAGGATGGGCAGGAAGGAGAGAGAGAAAGGAACAAGAAGGTGAAATACTGACAGTTGTCCCTATTGCCTCCCCTCAGAGTCGATGATGTCGTGAAGTCAATGTACCCTCCACTGGACCCCAAGCTCCTGGATGCACGGTGAGAGGGGAGAGGGGGATCACTCTTCTTTATCACCCCTCAGGGTCGCTATTATCAAGCCTGCCAGGCTGGCTGCCTGGCTTCTTCAAAGAGGATGGTTTTTCAGATTTCCAAGGCCACCCCTGGCTCTGGGTTCACCCCCTTCCACGTCAACACTGAGCCAACCCGTGAGTTGAGCCTGGCAGGTGATAGAGCCCAGACTTCTTCCTGAGCCCCCAAGAGGAGGGAGCAAACCATGTATCATATCAGGCTTGGATGTGCATGCTTAACTGGTTATGCTAACTTGGCCTCCCTGCCCTTCGCTCCCCATTCCTCCTTCTGATCTTTGGACTCAAAACCAGCCACACCTTGCTGGAAGCACCGCCCAGCAGGGCTGTGGCGAGCCCAGCAACAAGAACATGTAACAGGTCAGCCACAGGTGGAACTCACTCCCCATCAGTCATCTCAGGAGCCTCTTCTCTGGACCCTCCTCCACCCCACAGAGTGCGCTCAGCCCTACGCAATGTAAGCCCATTGAATACCTACATGTTGTCTCCATTTGATTTGTGAGACTCCCATGGACGTGTTGTGTGATGGTTACCAGGTGGCTAGTAAGTCATGACGCGCCTGCTTTGGTTACTCTGCCCTATTCCCATCGCCACTCAGCTTTCTCCATGGGCTGGTAATCGATAATGGAGCCCTGAACACACCTGGCACTCTCACCATATAAAAATTATTTCATAGTGAATTTTTCAATTAAAAAAAACCCCACAGAAATAACAACAACAAACAAAACCTTCCTCTTCAATTTGATTTTCAATTACATTTTCTTTATCATTGAGTAAGCCAGCCCTGGGCTTATTGATTTGTGATCAATAAGAGATGTTCACTGAAGAGGGATATATATAGCCCATCTTTAAGTGGGCAGCAGTTGGAGATCTGCTCATCCAATTGACCACATCCAAACTGTTTCATAAAACACCCTGCTGGGAGCTGTTTATGGCTGTGTTGCTGAAAGCCTGTTCCACCATCTTAAATATGTTTACCAGACGCAGCTCTTCAGTTTCCCCTTGGAGCTTTGTCAAGCTCCTCAAAGGCTCCAAGACAGTTAGCCTTGTTTAAGCCAGCCGTCCCCTATGTATTTCAGCGTGGACCCATTGTGTTGCATAACCGCCCACCTTCCAGGAGAGGGTCTCCAGTTTGGGGAACACTAATCTAGAGTGTGCACCCATTTGAGTTTTTATGCAAAGTTCCCCACTGTCTACGGAGCCTGATCTTTTTTCTTTTCTTTTTTTTTCACCCCAGGACAACCGCTCTGCTTCTGTCCGTCAGTCACTTGGTGCTAGTAACCAGGAATGCCTGCCACCTAAGCGGGGGCCTGGACTGGATCGACCAGTCACTGTCTGCTGCTGAGGAGCACCTGGAAGTCCTCCGAGAGGCAGCCCTGGCTTCTGAGCCGGAAAAAAGCCTTCCCAACCCCGAGGGCTTCCTGCAGGAGCAGTCGGCCATTTAATCTGCAAGGCTCCGGTCTCTGCCTCCCCGTGGCTCAGCCGAGCCTTCCACTTCCTGTAGATTTAGTTGTTCTCTGGAGCTCTGGCATCCAGCCCCGGGTGCTGAGGAAAGCCGAGAGCCTCATCCTGGATGCCTCCGCTGCAATGGCAAACAGTGGCTGGAGAGTGGCAGTGTAATACCACAGTTAGGGGGGCTGCCGTGTACCTCTTCAGCAGAACACAGAGAGCTGCAGGGCTTACTGCTAGATTTAGTTCGTTTAATGTTTCCAAGAAAATTGAGTTGCCCTCTAAGAATCAAGAGGCTTCACACTGCATTAGGATTTCTGGCTTCTGAAAATCAAGGTGTGGCAACTCGCATCTGCGCTGTAGAGAACAATCAGAATGAAGCCGGGGATCGATCGCCTCTTTGGGGAATCCTTGAACTCCCCTTGCTGGTTTGTGTTCAGTCCTTGGTCCCTGAAGCATCCGAGCCCCTCACCCCCATGTGTCTTCCCCTTTCCCGTTTGTGTTAGAAGCCGAGGAAGACAAAGTCGATTGTTTCTTTTTAACCACTGTGCCTGCAATTCTACTCTACGACCACTAGGTGAATAGTAAATTTGTTCTGTTTTCCTCAAGCGTGGAGTTACTGAGTCAAATGTATATGTGGGGTAATACGGCAGAATGTGTGAGAACTGAGGATAGAAGGAGGGAGTCTGGGAATCTTGAAGGTGCTGTGCCTGTGTGTACGTGTGTGTGTGTGTGTGCGCGTGCGCGCGCTGCGCGCGAGCACATACTTAAGAAGAGTCAGGCACAAGTGATGACACTACAATAAAAGTGACTTCTCTTCCAGCCGTGACATCTTTGTGCCCCTTTATTTCTGGAATCTGTTTTGCAAATTTGAAAAATGAGAGGCAATTTTTTTTTATTGTTTGTTTTTTTGAAATTGCAGCCTTGAATTTGATCCTCCTGCCTCAGATTCCAGAATACTGGGATCACCAGCATCCAACACCACTACCTACTGATAACAGGCCCTTTTCTGACCCGAGAACTCAGTGGGACCCAGCTGACTCCAGATTGCATGATTTCCATCCCACACATGTAGGGGAGCCCAAAGAATGTTCTTTCCACATGTGCAGAACCCGCCTCACTTTTGGAAGCTGGGCCTGGCTTGCTGCTGCCCAGATCCTATCCGCAACATTAGACATTGTTAGAGCTGCCTCTGTCCCTGTTTTATTTTCTCTGCCCTAACTCAAGTCAGCAAACACTTTAGCTTGATATCGGGGGTACCGGGAACTCAGTCTTTAGTCCAGGATCTTGTTTGTCTGTGATTAGATATTTCATTCTCTCCTGGAGAGAAGGCAGCTCTGACCAGCACAGTGTGTACCAAGGCTACCAGAACTACCCATTTTGGATTGCAGGGTGGATTCCAGGGGAAGCTTGTCGGCTCTCTCCTCCCATCAAACCTGAAAGTGTGTTATGCCGTTAACTCCTACCCTGCTGGAAGCTGTGACTGGGAAACGTCCAAAATAACCCACTCTGCCTTTTCTGCTCGAGGCCTCCACAAATAGTCCTCCACAGTCTTGCTTCTTCCCCTTTAAGATCCAGCGGCATCACTGGATGTGTGCCGAGGTTGCAATGGCTGCTACTGTGCTAAATGTCCCGCGCGCTTGAACAAGGAACCTAAGCCAGAGAGAAGCAAGTCTAAATGGGGATCTCAGTCACCATCTACCATGGGTGGAGGATGGGGTGGGGTGCTCTGAGTTCTCTAAAGGGACATCCACATGGCCTGTCACCCATCATGGTATGGCCCCTGTCAGGAGGACAGGTTGCTCAGGACCCGAGGAGTGTCTGGGGCTGCGGGAGGAGAGGATGGGTGTGTTGGCGAGGGGAGGTGTTTCTGCACTGGGCAGATTTCCTTCCAGTGCTGTGTGAGTGAGAAGTGTGTGTACACTGCTGCTGCTAGGAGCTGACAGGCAAGGTGGAAGCACTCCTCTTGACCCTTGGGGATCTGGCTGGAGTCAGCGCTTCCTTTGGAGGGATGGATGGTAAGTACCAGGGATCTCAGGAATGTCTCTGCTGGGTGCGGTTTGCCAGGTAACAGAAGCATCTCAAGCCCCTAGCTTAGTAGTGTCTGTGGAAATGGTGATAGAGCCATCCTGTATGGTGTGCCCCTCTCTCATCCTGAAGTAGGACCACTGGACTCAAACCCTAACGAAGAGACCCCTGAGGGATCCAGCATGAAGAGGGGAAGCGACTTGAAGTCAGAGTTAGGTCTGAATTTGTGCTTCGTCCTTTACTGTGTGAGCTGGGACACGTCCCTCCACCTCTATGGTCATTAACTTTTCTCATCTGTAAAATCAAGGTCACTGTCTTCTCAGGTTGATGTGTCCATCAAATGAAATGGGGTGCATGAAATATCCAGCTGTACCCCTGGTCCTGACTAGCCAGGATCAACTGCTGTCTTGGCAAGGCTCTGCGCTCTCATACAGGTGGCTCTGGAGACATCACTTTGGTTGCCAGGGCTGTGTTCCAGCATCCATGCTGTTTGTGGGTGACACTGAGTGGTGAACATCTAAAGTTGGATGCTAGAGAGATGACTGACTCAGTCTATAAAGTGCTCAACCCATACAAGCGTGAGGACCTGAATTCAGATCCCCAGGACCCATGTAAAAGGCTGGAGGTGGCACACATCTGTAATGCCAGTGCAGGGGGAGGGTAGAGCTCATTGACCAGCCAGCCTAGCCAAATCGATGAGCTCTGGGTTCAGTAACAGACCCTGTCTCCAAAGGTAAGGCAGAGAGCCATGGAGGCCATCTGGCATTGACCTCTGGGCTCTATATGTAGGCACACAGTTTACATGTACCTTCATGCACTTAAGTAGTGTGTGTGCCTGCATACACACACACACACACACACACACACACACACACACACACACACACACACACACACACACCCCTCACTGTAGTAGGGAGAGTAGTCTTATTCCTGCCCCACCTTAACTATGTTTAGGCCACAGAGACATTCAGGCTCCTGGCTCCTCAGTGGTCTCTCAATGTTGAGTGGACTGGCTTTGTACAAACCTCCGTTCTTCCCCAGAAGCCTCCTCCTGCTGTGAAGTCTGTGGGACTGTGCTCCTGGCATACAGCTTGCCCTAGTGGTCTCTGAACCCCTTCACTCTGGAGCTCCCTTCTCTTCCGGGACTGTGCCCACAGGGGCCTGGCATTTAGAAAATGGTTCCAAGTTCTAAGGCGCCCAGTTGCCTTCTGACCTTGGAAATGTGGGGATCTGTCAGATGAAGAATTTTCACTCAATGTCTGCCTCCCTCCCTCTTTTTCTGTCGGGGCCACCGAGGGAGCTGCTGTGCTGGATGCTGGTGACGCGGGGCGAGAGGCACAGCCCCTGCGCTTGAGGGGTTGGAGAAACAGGAGCAGCGGGCAGACTCGGGGCTGAGGCCAGTGCTGTAATGGAGGGGCCAGGGTGCTGGCTGGTTTTTATGTCAACCGACACAGGCTAGAAGGAGGTGGGAAGAGGGAACCTCAGCTGAAAACATGTCCCCACCACATGGACCTGTAGGCAAGCCTGTGAGGCGTTTTCTTAGTGATTGATGTGTGAAGGCCCAGCCCATTGTGGGTGGTCCCACTCTTGGGCAGGTGGTCCTGAGTTATATAAGGGAGCGGGCTGAATGAGCTATGAGGAATAAATCAGTAAGCAGCATTCATCCTTTGTTCCTGCATATGTGTGTGCGTGCGTGCGTGTGTGCGTGCGTGCGTGTGTGTGTGTGTGTGTGTGTGTGTGTGTGTGTGTACATGCACAAGTGAGCACACACCAGAGTTACCTTCCAGCATCTTTTCTCAGGAGATGTTCACCTAGGTTCTTACTTATTTTTTTTGCCAGAACTTTGATGATTAGCCGCCCAAGGAGCTCCAGGGACTTCTGCCTGTCTCTGTCTTCCAAGCGCTGGGATTAAGAGCACATGCCACTAAAACGTTTTTTAGATTTGGCTGCTAGAGATTGAACTCAGGTCCTCATACTGGCCTCCACTGACTTAGCTACCTCCCCAGCCCTAACTTGGATTCTTATTACCCCAGTTTTCAGGGAACGAGACCAAGGCCTGCCTGGAGAGCTCTGTTGCTTTTCATGAAAGAAAAATCAGAGCAGGAGCTTTATCCCCTTGGGGTTTTGTTTTATTATTACTTATTATTATTGTTTACCAGTACTTCTCCCCACCCGGGTGCAGGAGGAGGAGAAATGAAAATAACAGAATACTAGAAACAGAAGTGAAGAATGATATAAGAGTCATCCCATTCTCTTCTGCTTCTGATATTTTTCATTAAGATAATGGCAACTGTGACCCAGGAATTAATTTTATGGCCCATAGTAGGTTACAACCCACAGGATGATAGAACATGGGCTTGAAATGAGGGATTTCTTCTCTATCCAAAAGCATTTAATTTTATCCATTTTAAGTAAAACTCACATTTACCAGCATAGTGGCAAAAATTTATGGTGCAAAATGGAATCACTAATTTATGACATGATTGATTAGTTCAGAGTCATCTGTTGAGCATCTCTCCTGGATTAGGCTCACGGATACAGGGATGAATAAAAATATAATGCCTCTCATGAGACACATATAATCTAAGGTGGACGGAAAGCTGTAAAGAGTTGTTCTCAATATTGCCTGTAAGGGAAGGGGAGTGTAATGGGAATTCAGGGAAGGAGTGCCAAGCCTACCTCAGAAGTTTCTTGAAGGTTGTAACTTCCTAGAAGAATTGTCAAGGAGTGGGTGTCAGGAGAAGATGGGTGTCCAGGAAGGGTACAAAGGAGGCGGCAGAGCATCCAGGAAGGCAAGCCATACAGGCACAGCATTGCATTCCATACTACGATCCTTACTGCAAGCATCATGTGGGAGGTGTGGCATGCATGGGTTAAGCCAAGACAAGGAGGCAAAAACTAGAATCTGGAGAGTCTTCTGGACCCTGCAAATTTTTTTGTGTTTTCTTCAAGAGCAGTGAGTGATTCTCAACATGTGGGTTGAGACCCATTGGGGTGGAAGGACCCTTTTATAGGACCCTTGAAAACCATGGATATTTATATTATGATTCATAACAGTAGCAAAATTAGTTATGAAGTAGCAATGAAGATAATTTTATGGTTTGGGGGGGTCACCACAACATGAGGAATTGTATTAAAAGGTGGCATCATTAGGAAGTTGAGAGCCACTGTCCTAGATAGTGTCCAGATATTAAAGTCACAAAGGTACTTCCTTGCAATGCTTGCTTGTAAACCCAGCACCCCTGCACTCAGGAAGCTGAGGCTGGAGGCTCAGGAGTTTGAGATCAGCCTGTGTTACCAATGTGTTATCATCAGTGGTAGAGCGCTTGCCTAGCAAGCACAAGACCCTGGGTTTGATCCTCAGCTCAAAAAAAAAAAACAAGAAACAAGTTCTTACTGCTTCTTGGTGTGGTTTGAATAAGAATGGCCCCCATAGGCTCATATATTTGAATACTTGGTCCTCAGGTGGTGGAACTGTTTGGGAAGGATTAGGAGGTGTGGCCTTGTCAGAGGAGGTATGTAACTTTGGGTGGGCTTGGGCATTTCAAAAGCCCACACCATTCCCAGTTAGCATTCTCTCTCTGACTCTTTGGAGATCAGATGTAAACTCTCCCCTACTGTCCCAGTGGCAGGCCTGCCTGTACCATGCAGGCCCCTCTGACCCTCTAGAACTGTGAGCCCCAAGTTAAAAGCTTTCTTTTGGAAGTGGCCTTGGCCATGGTATTTTGTCACAGTAATAGCAAAGGAACCAAGACACTTGGGAAGCAGCCAGCACGGCATCCTTACCAGTCTCACTGCTTGCCCTGACCAGGTGCTGCAGATCAAACCCAGGGCCTTGTACAAGTTAGACAAGCTATCGACCGCTGAGCTGTATCTCCAGCCTTTCAGCTTCAATGCCCTGATTCGGTAGGTGAACGATGGGAAGCATTGTATAAATTTGCATGTCCCCGAGGACTGCTGCAGTTAAAGATTTTTCATGTGTTTATTAAGCTATTTGTACATAGTCCTGCCCTTTGCCCATTTCCCCTCTGGGATTTTAGTATTTTTCTTATCGATTTATATGAGCTCTTTATATTTGAGGGATAACAACCTTTCATCATATTTATTGCATAGACTTTCCTCAGTCTTGTCATTGCTTTTTAGTTTGGTTTGGAATGGCTTCTGACATCTCGAAGTTTTTAATTTGGTGTAGTCCAATGTATCGATTTTCTTTCCCTTGGTGATTTCTTCTATTACTTTTATGCTTACAGAATTCTTCCTCATTCAGAGATCAAATAAATATCACTGAAATGTTTGAAGCAGGAGTGTGTCATGGAGGATGATTGATAACAATATTCACAGGTTGGATGTAGGCAAGAAAAACAAAACAACACATCCAACCAGGATAAGAGAAACCAAATCGTCTTTTATTCCCACAAATTCCCCATCAAACCTGTCCCAAGGTTATAGGTGGGGACATTTAGGGTGAAAGGAAGGTTGACAGAGTGGAGGGGATGTATGAGCAATCTGGAGAGGCTGGCAGGTGGGAGTCATCCATGGAAGGAGCCATGTGTCCCCAGGGAGAATATGAAGGAGCAAGCATTATCTAAGCACCGAGTACTTTTCCTACCTGGGGTAGGAAAAAACCCAAGCCAAACCCACACATTTCTGCCCTTGTAGGTTTATAGTCTAATGAGAGAAAACAAGTATCAAGAAAATGATTGTTTAAAGAAATGTAAAGTAAAAGGTTCTAAAATATTTTAAGGAAAGAGAAGCTTATGAAAGATTATTAGGGATATGAGCATATCTAGATGTCACTCTGAGCATATCTAGATGTCACAAAGGGCTTCCACTAGAGCAAGGAGCGGTGGCACCCACCTACTGTCCCAGCACTGGGGAGTAGGCGGAGTATATATTCTACACCAGCTTGTGTTATTTACCAAGACGACACAAAGAAGACTTGCACAGAGAGGTCCTCGATGCACTGTTTGAGGTTACCCAGGAGCTC